AAACGAATGAAGATACCGATTGGAATGAGTGGAACGTGAGTTTTCATGTAGTTTTCAGCGAAAACTGGTTTTCGTTTGACAGATTTTACATGGACGAAAACACAAGTTTTAAGTCGAAACCAGTTTTAGCAACGAAAACATGTTTTCGATGTCGGTCAGAACATGGTATAAGGGTTGAAGCCATTCACGATAAATTTCTGTAGATTATCAACACTGGACCAGTTCGGTTGGCATTCGTCGATCCGCCATTTTTATTAGCATTTCTCTACCTGTCGGCGTTGCGCTTGGAAAAAGTTTCCGATAACTTTTCCTGTACAAAAAAAAATATTAATTGTAGACAGAAAAATATACATAATTTTGTGAGAACCTTTTAATAAGCAGACTGCATAATAACTCGAATTCTGATATATTGGTAAGTGGCTTGTGGCTTTTATTATATCCGCCATTACATATTTGCTAAAATCGATACCGGAACTACATACTTTACTCGCTAAAATAACTAATACCTTCTGCCACCAAATTTAGTACGATATGAAGAGTGAAGGCAATGAGAATTCTAACGACAGCCGGGAGAAGGAACGGGATCGACGAGGTCGTGGAGCACGTGCGTCAAGATTCTCGGACGCTGAAGCCGGTGGTGCTGGCAGCGGTGGCGCCGGTGGAAGTACCAACTCTGGTGGCAATGCTAACCGTGATCGTAGCCGTGAAGGTCGCAATTGCCGCGTTTACATATCAAACATCCCCTACGATTATCGTTGGCAAGATCTGAAAGATTTATTCCGTCGGATTGTGGGGTCAGTTGAATATGTAGAATTATTCCATGATGAAAATGGAAAAGCTCGCGGATGTGGAATCGTCGAATTCAAAGATCCCGATAATGTCGAAAAAGCTTTGGAAAAGATGAACCGCTATGAGATAAATGGCCGAGAATTGGTAGTGAAAGAGGATCATGGTGAGCAGCGGGATCAGTATGGTCGCATTGTACGCGATGGCGGTGGGTCATCACGAGGAGGTGGTGGTGGTGGTGGCGGTGGTGGCGGTGGAGACATGGGTGACCGCGACAGAGGCTTCTCTCGCCGCGATGATGACAGGTACTACAATTTAAGCTTGAAAAATATTATCAATTCTAATATGGGTTTATTGATTTTTTCTTGGGAAGGTTTGCATATACGTTTTTTTGTTTCAGGAAAATTGTGTTGAAAAATAATTGGCCCTATCACAAATTTCACATGAACAAATATTGCTAAAATTTATGAAGCAAAACAAAAACAATATTTCCTAATTTGTTCTTGTTTTTCCTGTTACATTATGGGAACTTTTTATTCACATCGAATTGGTGATAGGGCTGAATATCTATCTCACAGATGTTTCGTTGTTATAGGGTAAATTTGACAATATTTTGTTAAGTTTAGTCAGGCGCTTTACAGGTCATTGACTACATCTGGAAGAAATGCGTTAAACAAAGGCAGCAAGGTATTACGAGGTAGTGAAAGAACAATAGGCTTCACATATCGCAATATTTAAACAAATATTTGAGTATATTGGTCAGGTGATGAAGTTAGAAGCGGCATCATTCCTGCATAAATATTTAATAGACATTTCATGGTAAATTTTGTGCCAGAAGTTCTATTGGGGAAATAAGTTTCATTTATTATTCGGTTTGGAAATATCGGCCAGGTTCCCTAATTCACTTCCGAGTTAATTTCCCAGTCGCTTTGTATTCAAATTTAATGGGGTTGAAATTCACTCGAGTGTGAATCGCACATCCTGCCTGTATATCGACGGTTTGGTGGAAGATTGAGCCATCTCTGCAGCCTACTCGTAAAAGTCCTATCTCAGCTGCCGTTATATTTTGAGTTAAAATGTTGTTTTTAACCATACCCTGAGTTAGGGTTTTTTAATCGAATTCTGAAATACGGCATCCTCCAATCAAATTTTGAAGTAATGCTCGATTTCCACCAGACATTAAATGACAAAAATTACAAACGAAAAAAAAAGTTTGAATAGTTTTTTGAGATAGTCGGGTTTCGAACGGGCTGCCGATAAGGTGGTCGATCTTCCACTTAGTCGTCGACATGTAGTTTCAAACAGCTCGTCATCCGTTACGTAAAACATTGGGAACAGTTGCAACATTTCCTGCAATTTGGCGAAATTACCGATTTGCACTAGAAAAGTATAGAACAGAATTCAAAGACAGCTTCGGAAAAGATGAAACGCTATTAGATAAATAGACGAGAATAGGTAGTAAAGGAAAGGAGGATAAAAGAACATTAAAGTAGATTGGTTGGTGACAGGATAATCTAAAAAAGGCGACGAAATTCTGCTTCAGATTCTTAATATAAGGTCCGAAGTATTTCAATCGGTACTCCAGTCGACATGTTTTGGCACTAAATTGCATACTCACCCATTTGAGGAATTTTGTTGAAATCATCTAAAGTCTAAAAAATCTAAATTTTTCTATGATTAATTAAATTGTACATTCCTGGAACAATCATTAAGGATATTTTCGTTTTAGTTTTTAAACTATCCCTTGGGGCTCAGTTTTGTATTACGTTTTCGGATTGGAATTACTTTATTTACATATATGATAAATTTTTACTTGGAAAGTGTTTTCAAATATATGTAGGGTTGGTATACGATTTTTACACGTATGTTCAGGTTTTTATGGTGGAATATTTGGGTTACAATGGGAATTCGTACATTACTTTTATTAGCAGTAAACTTTTAAGAGTGACTCTATTGAATAATATTGTTTTTATATATTCAATACTTTAATATTTCGATTGATTATTATCCATGCGATATGCCATCTTTCGAATTAGATATTTCACAATGAGAATTGAGCGTAGAAAATAGGATTTCTTCGTACTTTTCAAAGTTGTCAAAGTTAGGGAAAGCAAATATTTGTTGTGTGTACTTTACCCTATTCGGATTATCAATAAACAACACTTCGCAGCTACTAAAGTTGTTAACAGTTTTTTTCCCAGTCGATCTTCGCTTTGTTTCTGGATGATGTGTGCTTACCGTTGACTTTTTCCTATAACGTGTTCTTCTTTTAGATCTGGGCGTAATAATTTTAACATGATGTCCAATGATTTTAATAATTCATCGAATTACAATTTGTATGGGCTTTCTGCTTCGTTTTTGGAGAGTCTGGGCATAAGTGGACCTTTACATAATAAGGTTTTTGTTGCTAATGTGAGTATACAATTTTTAAGTAATTCAAAAAAAAAAAAAAATTAAAAAACGTTTTGGTTTCGTGCGTTGTAAGTTTTCAGCGCCGGGATTTGTAAAAAGTTCAGTAGACGTGTTGAAGGTACACCAGTATTTGCCGTCGTCTTCGAAATTGTGCCATAAGTATTATAACAGGATAAATAAAACTATTTGGAATGTGCGTAAGCTCTAGCGATTACGTATTTTGTTACATTCTAAACGTTTTAAGTTGACGGAGTTATTATGAAGTGTGTTTTTTTTTTTTTGTAAACTTGGGACTTGATCAGTTTTAGATCCGTTGTTTGCTTAATTTTGTCCATTTCGCGCCTAAGCCAATCTCTCCTTATTGACTCCTCTAACATTTTCTAAAAAAAAAATTATATAACTAGGGTAATTCGCCTAAGTTTGCCTCATACAAGGCTTTTAGTGCTTATATTCAGACATCTTTGTCCTCTATTAACCTTTGTTTCGTCATTCTAAACTTTTCGGATTATCTTGTTTGAGACCGGTATTCTTGGTTTTATACTTGCGGCATCGTCGTTCCATTTTTGGTAAGTGGTGCAATTTAGCTATAGGATAACAGTTGCATTACTTATAGGCGGCATACACGGTGCATCTGACTCGTGAGTCATTTGTGTACGTGTTAACTCTCATTTCGACTACACACAGTTGAGGCACTCAGAGTCATGCCAGAGTCATGTCGGTGTAACTATCACATTTTTATTTTCTCTAACACATACAAACCGACTCGCGAGTCAGACGCACTGTGTATGGCGCCTATTAACCTTTCGGCGGATAAATAATTATATATTGAGTACGATATTCTTCCTAAAATGTTGTCATTCTCAAACTATTTTTGAAAGCAAAGTCGCTGCATCGCTAGAAACAATATGGGTTTCCTAGCTATTTATCTGATGTCTCAAATATTTCTCAATAAAATGTCCTGTTTATTATGTCCGAAAGAATTGTTTTGGCGTTCTAATGTTGGCACTCAATCCTTGCGTCTCACTGGCTTTTCACTTCGTTACTGTAAATGGTCTATTATCTTTTGGTCATACACAATTTTATATTCTGACAAATTCCATTACCCACTTTTCCACAGCTGGACTATAAGGTCGATACAAAGAAACTCAAACAAGTTTTCAAACTTGCTGGCAAAGTACAGAGCGTGGATCTATCCGTTGATAAAGAGGGCAACAGTCGCGGTTTCGCTGTTGTGGAATACGACCATCCGGTAGAGGCTGTTCAAGCTATTTCTATGCTCGATCGTCAGATGCTCTACGATCGTCGTATGACTGTACGTTTAGATAGAATTCCGGACAAGGGTGAAGGATTGAAACTACCCGAAGGCTTGGGTGGCGTTGGCATTGGACTTGGTCCGAACGGCGAACCATTGAAGGATGTTGCTCGCAACTTGCCAAACATTATTCAGCAACAGCAAAATCAACCAACACAGCCGTCGATGTCGTCGCAAGGTGGTGGTGGCTCAAATATTCTCGGAAATATGGTGGCCTCCTTGGGTGGTGGTGTGGCTGGTGGTGTTGGTAGTAGCGGCATGTTTAACAATCAATCTGTACAACCATCTCCTGTTGCGCCAGTTGTACAGGCGGCTGCCAAGTCACTGGGTACAAATACAGCTGGCCTCAATTTAAGTAATCTATCAACAACCAATTTGGCGGCTTTATCGAACGTGGTTGGCGGTCTCGGAGCTGCACTTTCCAATCCACTGCTTACGTCGTCTTTGACTAATCTCGGTTTGAATTTGGGGCAATCGGGTGGTGGCAATGATGACTCCATGTCGTCAGCCAACGCAGCGTTATCCAACAACTACAGTACTGTAGGCAACAACTACAGCTCCGGTTTTGGTGGATCTTCTGGTTTTAACTCGGGCAATGCCGGAAATACTGGTGGAGGTGGCGGCGTTGGTTTCAACGCATATAACACGGGAAGTGGTAACACTGGTGGTGTTGGAGGTGGCATGGACAACGACTACAGCGGTGGTGGCAACATGGACATGTATGGCGGAGGCGGCAGCGGCGGTGGTAATGCAGGCAATGCTGGAAACAATCCACGGAAGTCAGACACAATTATAATAAAGAATGTAAGAGTAGTAATTTTTTATTGCTTTGATATTGCTTACTATGTTTTGACATTTATTTTAAATTAAGGTACCACTAAGCTGCACCTGGCAAACTTTGCGTGACAAGTTTCGTGATGTAGGTGAAGTAAAATTCGCCGAAATTCGTGGAAATGATTTGGGAGTTGTACGTTTCTTTAAAGAGCGCGATGCTGAGTTGGCTATTGGTGAATAAGCTAAAGTAAATCGCTCCTGCTGCGACAAATTTACATGTGGTATCNTGGGAGTTGTACGTTTCTTTAAAGAGCGCGATGCTGAGTTGGCTATTGGTAAATAAGCTAAAGTAAATCGCTCCTGCTGCGACAAATTTACATGTGGTATCTTTTTTTCATTTCAGCTTTGATGGATGGTTCTCGTATGGATGGAAGAACGATTAAAGTTACATACTTTTAAATTTGGGAGCAACTTATAATTTCTTAATGCATCTAAGGAAACTTACAATAAACAATATCGTGTAGATTTCATTTTTGAAAACACTAAAAATTACACAACATATGCTTACGTACATATTTTTTTTATTATGTTAACAAGCACGTGGGACTACATGTATTATTTATATATATTTTTTTAATAAAATAAAACCTTTGACATTATTGACGAAGTTGTGAACATTGTAGAGCCAACAAAAAACGTGGTAATGCGGGCTCAGTTCTGCTCGTTCATATACCGATAGCTTACTTCCATTGTCGTTTAAACGGGGAAAACATGAAAAATTGTATGTATGTTTATGAATAAATCTTAAAAATAGTAGCCCTGTGTTTGTTTCTAATTACGAGTGTCGACTAATGGTACATACCATTGTTAGTCGATTATCGATTATCCGTGGTATTTTCAAAGTCGTTTTCTCGTTCAATAAGTGTGAACGACTACTGTAATCCTAAGAATTTTAAGATTACACTTACCGTAATTGTTATCATGGAAATTAGGATTGCTGTTACAGTAGACGTAATCGTTAAATTTTTTGGATTGCAATTAAAAATTATCGCGATGCAATTCATGATTACGATTACAGTTATCGAGAAATTAGTTTTGCTTAGAGCAAATATGAATTTTTATACATCAAAATGGTTTTAAGTTATGATGATGATGAATTCGCTTATTTGTTTGGAATTGTAATGTTCTACACAGACTCGTGGTCGCAGCATTTCCAATAAAACCCTGATTTTGATTAACTGTATTACTTCAACTTTAAATAAATTCTATATACACTGCCTGAACAAAGTATTGGCACAGCAAATTTTTCACCATATTGCAACAATTTTTATTCTAATATTTTTTCGCCAATTTTGTATAAAAATATGGCTCATTCTACATCAAAACTCGCGAAAATTCAATAAATTTTCATGCAAAATTTTAAACTTTTTAATCAGATTTTTTAGATTTTTTTTTAGTAAGCCGATTTGTAGCCCAATCAATTTTATATTATAATAAAGTGCAAATTTTAAGAAGCTAGGAATTACGGTTGATTTTTGGCGGTATTCCATAATTTTTTTTTTCGAAAATACATTATATGGAAAAAATTCAAAACACTCAACAAAAAAAATTCTCAAAAATCAATGCGATTATTGACGAGCTTCAAACTTGCATTTTTTTACTAGAATTTAATGGGCTGTAAAACTGCATACGCAAAATTCAACAAAAAACTTATTGGAGAGTTGAAATTTTTCATGAAAATTTACTGAATTTTCGCGAGTTTTGCACAAAGTTTAGGAATTATATTTTTATGTTTTTTGTTGTAGAATGAACCAAATTTTTATACAAAATTGGCGGAAAAATATTAGAATAAAAATTGTTGCATGTATTGTGAAAAGTTGCGGTGAAAGTTCCGCTCATACTAATAAATAATTCGCGCAACACTGTGGTTGTGATTGCAACTCGAACAAGCCCTACATTAATTGTAATAATCATTAATATTTTTAGGATACCAATTAAAGTGTTCGTAATCGTAATTTTCATGATTACAATTACTGTAATTGTAATCTTAAAATTTTTAGGATTAATGTAATCTTAGTCCTTACATTTTTTAGATTACAATTATATCGTAGTGGTAACATTTATGATTGCAATTAAAATAATCGTAATTAAAGTTAAGCAATCCTAATTAAAATGTAATCGTAATCATAAATTGCCCAAATTAGAAAAAATGTGATCATTTTTAGTTTGGTGATGGAAGTTCATTTTTAAGATNAATTAAAATGTAATCGTAATCATAAATTGCCCAAATTAGAAAAAATGTGACCATTTTTTTAGTTTGGTGATGGAAGTTCATTTTTAAGAAATGCTACAGATATTTGAATCTCAAATAAAACATTAATATGTTAATTGGAATTTTTATTTGGTGATTAATAAGAAAGACATGTTCTTAAAACGATACATTTGTATTTCAAATAAAATACGCATATTCACTTGAAGTTAGTGTTATGCTATCGGTTGAATGGCTGGTCCTAATTGCTTGAGACTGTGGTCGGCGTTGCGGATGGGGTGACTATTGCTGCTGGTTCGTTCTTCGCCTCATCATTTTCCGTATTTACACTACTCGCTTTTTTCTCAGATGCTGGTGCTGTTGATGTATTCTTAAAACGTTCCAAACGGGCGCGAGCCTTCTCCGCCCATAAGTCATTTGTTTTTGCCGATCCAACGGTAGCAGATGATCCTGCCGAGTTTGCCACTCCAAAACGTTCTTTTCGTTTCTGCAACTTCTCCGCCGCATCGATTTGAGCCATTTTCGAGGATACGACACAGCCAAAGCGTTCAGCTCGTTTTTTAAGCATTTCAATTTGCTTGGCATCGTTAACAATAGGTGGTCCACTGATGCCAGTTATTACTTTCGCATTGCTGGTCGGTTTAATTGTAGTTTTAGTTGGATCAGTGCTGGAATTTGATCCCAAGCCGAATTTTTTGGCACGAAGCTCAAGCCGCTCCATTTGACTTAACTGTACTACTTTTTTACCACCGGCAGAATCACCGACGCTTGTTGTACCACTATTTGTTTTAGCATTTGAGGTTTCTTTCGCCTTGAGATCACTCACGGTAATAGGATTACGTTCGCTCATTTTTAAAACTTTATCCTTTGGTGGCTCTGTATTCTCCTTCGATGTGCCTGAAGCGTTAGTGCTTTCTGTAACGCCCAGAGTGTTTTCGCCGTCACTTGCTTTGCGCTTTAATATAATCTTTTTAGCGTTAGTGGTATCAACGGAAGGCTTGTTTTCGTTTAGAGGTGAAGCTAATTCGGAAGCCGTTGGTGTACTGGTTGGACTCTTGAGTAACTCATTTTCATCTGCAGCTATTGGCGACTCTTCCTCATCGGTCAGCACGGCATCTTCATCAAGCAGAGCATCTTCATTGGTGATAGCTGAATCTTCCAATGAAATGTCGCCATCAATTAGTGCTGTCTGCAGGCGGTCTTGAAGTTCCGTTTTGTTGCCAGTGGTAGCAAGGCCACGCACTTTAAGCTCACGTTTCAAATCGGCCACCTGGTAAATATAAATCGTTTTTCTGATATCTATTAATGATTTAGATTCAGCGAATCTCACCTTCATTTTAGTAACTTCCGATTCAGGCATGGTTTTGTGTATTTTTTTTTATTAGTTTTCTATAAATTAAAATCCGCGATTTCAGCCTCCTTTCTGTTTTTCGGTCAATTACACAAACACACAAAGAAGTGTCAGTTTGACGTTTTCCCCCTGGGGTGTGTTCAAGCAGCGGTATTAAAATTATAGCTATAGAATAGTGCAATTACGAATGTAATCCCAATGATATGTAAAACCGTAACTTAATTAAGAACTACATGCAGTTGTCCACAAAATAATAGGATTGATCAGTTTTGGCTATTTATCTTTAGTTTATTTAGGGCCGATTACTCAACGTCCGGTTTAACACTAATCTGCGGTTAAACATAGTTATCGACGTTACATACTCCCTGTTGTATGCATGGAGTCGAAGACGTCGATAACGCTGTTTAACCGCAGATTAGTGTTAACCAGACATTGAGTAACCGGCCCTTAATGTGTATATTTTTTTTATAAAAGTCTAACTGGTTATACAACAAACACCATATAAATTCAGATTTCAAACTTTGTGCAAGGATTATAAAAATACGCAAATTTTCATTGAAATTCAATATGTGCCATTTCGAAAACTCTGGCTCTCTTCAGAAGACTTCCGNGTTAATAATACTCAATTATTTATTAAACCAGTTTTTAAAACTAAAAATGTTTTATTGATCCCCTAATCGCATTTGTTGGGGTTTTGGCGGTTGTTTGCGGACCTATAAAATATAGCTACTATAAGAAAAGATTAAATCAATTGCGTTTTATTACTGGGAATCTCCTGAAGATAAACAAAGTTTTCCGATCGAAAAATATTGATTTTCAAGAATTCTATACCATTTCTACGAAAAGTTGATTTTTGCCCATATAAAATACGTGGAAAACTTTGAGCGACCTCTAAACATTTTTTGATATCAAAACAAAAAAAATAGGGGTATAGTTTTTTTCGGTATAGAAAAATCCCAGGGGGTGAGAACATAGAAATTCCGATTTTACTTTTTCACATGCATTTTGACGTAGAATACGTCTTAAGGCTCTGTTATGCATACTTGGCATTG